GCTAGCCTCTCAGTCTAGCCGAACTTAAGTACGGCTAGCCACTTCGTACAGTAATACCGTTTTTTGAGATTTGAACCTATGCACTCTGCAATGCTACCACCTGACCTTGTCCCCCCCCCCACACACACACACACCACTATCCCTTCTCAAAGACAAAGCGGATTAGACTTAACATGCATGTGGTGAAGTGACAGCTTGAGAGTGGAGGATAAGACTTGATGTGACAGCCTTTGGCTTGAGTTGAGGGGGTCAGGGCCTGGGATGAAGGGTCAAGACCTCGTATGAGTGCTTCCGGATTAGGTAGAGATGTTGCTTTGGTAAGAGTTTTACGACACTCGCAACTGCATAAGGTCATATGACCGCGCTTTAGGTAGTGAGAATGGCGGGATTCAGATTAAGAATAGGATTTTTTTTAAATGTTTTTGTTTCAAGGTTATGTGAATGAAAATTAAATACAATGGTGGCGAGTGAATAAAAATGTTGCTGATGGGGTTGTAAATACAGTCAAACCTGCCCTGACGGCCACCTCTATAAGACGGCCACCTGTACAAACGGCCACTTTCCATTTCCCCCCTTGCGTTTTTTCTAATTTAACTGTGTAAAACGGGCACCTGTCCAACGCGGCCGCGGCCACCATATTTTAACACACAACCCCTATCACTGCAAGCAATAACACCTGTCTTAGACGGCCACCTTAGTAACTCCATTACGTTTTGTCATAAATTGTGTTTGGCCCCTGGCGTTGTGGGCGAGCCGTCATAATTCAATCACCTGTCGTTGTTGTTAGGAAGTCCCTCCAGCCGATCATGTTTCGTAGGCCCCTCCCACTGTTGACCAATAGCTACCAATTTTCAGTTGCTGGTGAGGTAAGCGTGTGATCCCTCATAACCCATAAACCCCGCCCAGACCTCATACACAAATCGTAAGTGAGATGAATGGTCACTGTTTACCCAGTCTGTAACAAAGGACGTCAACATGAAGTTGTGACAGAAGCGTCGCTCGTTCTCCGAGTGGTGGCGACCCATGTGTTTGTTTTAACATGGCACTCGGTCTTCCTCTTCTTATACATTTCGTTTTATTGTCACCCTTGTGCAAAATCAGCAACAAAATAAAAATTACGAACAAAATACAAACCACCACCACCTCCACCAACAACCACAACAACAACAACAACAACAACAATGCGGCTACTTTCGATTGAACCACAGATGGGAATGGTTTGTTTTCTTCTTCTTGATCAGTCCTGCCTAAGACGGTCTCTTGTCTTATACGGCCACTTTTCTCCTTGACAATGGTGGCCGTCTTACACAGGTTTGACTGTAATTGTATCCCCTTCATTCCTACCAAAATAGCAAGCAATTGAAACACCACACCAACATTATTTTTCTGTACTAAAGGTGAGCCACAAGCATTTTGAAAACCACTCAGACGAGAAAAGTCGCTTTTGTTCCAACTCAACGTTGCCTGGCAATTAAGAACCGAGCCGTTTCACCTCTAATTTTTGCTGGTAAAAAAAGTCACTCTGGTTTCCTACGCCCGCTGTGACAACTTAAGACACTAAATCTAATCTAATTGGTTGTTAGGTTACTATCATTGTAAGCGGTGACAAGAGTGATTTGATAAAAGAGCAAGCGGCCACATTGATACAGTGCCTGCATCCATAACCGTTTCAACTTTATAATTCATCACCTATGAAACATTAATTTACCAAAGGAAAGATTTGTTATTTTGTTTTTATTCTGTTTTATTTCATTGTATTTTATTTTATTATTTATTTATTTATTTTTATTTTTTAAAGTATTTATGTTTGTTTATTTTTCTTTCGATTTTTTGAATTGAAAAAAAGTATTTATTTGCTTATTTTAGGGACCTTCAGAGCAACACTACACCCCACTTCTGATCAGATAGGCATTGATGTCGGCTTCGTGGCTCATAGGGTATCTTTTCTATTAAAAAAATATGTTTTGCGATCGCGTCTGCCAACAACTATTTGTGATTTAAATTTTCTTTCGTTAGTTCCTGGCTAGAATCGAGGCAAAAAGTTATTTTACCTCAGTTTGAAATGTTTCACTTCCCTCCCCCTTCCCCCCTCTCTCCTGGTCGTCCTCCTCTTCTTCGTCCTCGTCCTCGTCCTCGTCCTCGTCCTCGTCGTCGTCGTCGTCGTCCTCCTCCTCCTCCTCCTCCTCCTCCTCCTCCTCCTCTCTCAGTTCTCCTCTAGCTTCCTCTCTCTCTCTGTCTCTATTTCTCTTTCTTTCTCTCCATTCCTTATTTCTTTTTCTCTCTTTTTCTCTTCCTCCCATCCCTTGAGCTCCTTCCGTTTCTGTAAGCCAGTCTTGCTTTTCCCAGACACGAAATACATATCATGTAATAGTTTTTTTTTATCAGTGCGCTTCTCTTCACCCAAAATAAACCAAAACAAATAAAGCCAACCCTCCCCCCCCCTCACCACCACCCACCCTCAGAGTCGCTTCAACCCAAGCCTGTGTGAGCTATATGCCAAGCGGTTCAAACCCCTCAAGGTGTGCCGGACGGATTTTGCCGAGCTGTGCTCCCTCGCCAACATCGTGCCTCTACGGAAGGGCATGAGGTACGCTGTGGAAGGACTCACGCCGTGCGGAGAGAAGGTCTCCATGCTGCTGAGAGGGAGGTGAGGAGTAATTGTTGCTGCTGGTGGTGATGGTGTTGTTATTGTTGTTGGTGGTGGTGGGGATGATGTTGTTGTTGTTGTTGATGTTGGTGGTGGTGTTATTAGTGGTGGTGTTGGTGGTGGTGTTATTAGTGGTGGTGGTGGTGGTAGTAGTGGTGGAGGTTGTGGCAGTGGCGGTGATGTTGGTGGTGTTGATGTTGTTGTTGGTGTTGTTGT